CCGCCTCCCGCAGCCCCGCCGCGGCCTCCGCCTCTCCGCCGCCGCCGCCATCCAGGTAAAAAGGGAAGCAGGCACCCGAGGGGGAGCCGCTGGGCTGGGTAGGGCTGGGTAGGGCTGGGTAGGGCTGGACAGGGGGCGTCCCGGCGCTCCGGCAGCGGGACGAGCTCGGTGTCGCCCCGCAGGTGACGGTGAGGGACGCGCTGAACCAGGCGCTGGATGAGGAGCTGGAGAGGGACGAGCGCGTCTTCCTGCTGGGGGAGGAGGTGGCGCAGTACGACGGTGCCTACAAGGTGAGGGGGCGCCGTTACCGGGACGGGGGGTGTGGGGGGGGGGGCAACCACGGGGGCTGACGGCGTTTTGCTGCCCCGCAGATCTCCAGGGGGCTGTGGAAGAAGTACGGGGACAAGAGGATCATCGACACGCCGATATCTGAGGTACGGCTTTGCCCCTTTTGCACCTAAGAGGTCGGCTCAGCGCCCCCCGTGCTTATTCTCCGTTTGTTTCTTTGCAGATGGGCTTCACGGGGATCGCCGTCGGTGCTGCCATGGTCTGTACCCTCACGTTCCTTCTTAATTACACCCTGAAACAAACCGCTTTTTGTTAGCTTACCAACCTCTCATCTGACACTTCAACAGGCAGGGTTGAGGCCGGTGTGCGAGTTCATGACGTTCAACTTCTCCATGCAAGCCATCGATCAGGTCATCAACTCGGCAGCCAAGACGTGCTACATGTCCGCGGGGTCCATCCCTGTGCCCATCGTCTTCCGAGGCCCCAACGGGGCGTCCGCTGGCGTGGCTGCACAGCACTCGCAGTGCTTCGCAGCGTGGTACGGGCACTGCCCAGGACTCAAAGTTGTTAGTCCTTGGAGCTCAGAAGATGCCAAAGGTCTGCTGAAAGCAGCAATCCGGGATGATAATCCAGGTGAACACAGCTCACGGTGCTATGTCACAGTCAGTGCTGAAAAGAATGTCTGTTTTCCCCTCCTGCATCATTTAAAATATATATTGTTGAACCTAAAAGCACTTCAGGTGTATTGATGCTGATACTTAATTTTTTCCTAATGCTTATTTGGCTTGCTAGCAGTAGCCTCTTTGTGCTGTTGCCAGTTCTACCCTTAATGGTAGTTCGGTACTGATCTGGAAGCTTAGAAGCTGTGTTTATGGACCTATGGTAAAGGCGTTAAAAATGAGGGAGATGAGTCAGGAGGAGTTCCTACATATACAGTGTCTGACCATGTGCACTTTTCAGATGATAAATTCAGAATCTCATTAACGAAAAGTAGGGCAACTTTTGTTTTTTATTTCTCACAAGTACATGTGCAAAATCTAAAACTTTTCTGAAACTAGAAATTCTACAGAAATAGTTATTCATCGTGACCTTTCCCACTCTCTTTGATCTAGTTTGTGAAGTGGAGTATACAGGCTTAAATTTTACAGTCTACCTTTTTAAAAACAAATGCTATGTAAGTCAGTTACCTTCATCAGTATATGCTTCCCAGCTCATATATTCTGTCAGTTTCTGTTTGTTTTTTAAGGAGGAAACATACAAAGCTCTTTAAATCTTGTGTAAATATCTATTGCTGTCATATGCCAAAAGCTAAATACCTTATCACATGTAAGATTAAACTTTTAGACAACTTTAAAAATGATTCAGTAGTGATGAGTAGACTGTGATACTATTATTGTTGCTATTGCTTTTGCAAATATACTGAAGTTTCTGTTGTCTGGATAGAGTCTCTATCTTGAGCTAGTCTGCTGCAATACAGTTCCTCACAAGCACAGTCCTCTTCTAGAAGTACGAGTTAATCCAAATGTGTTTTGTTCTAGTTGTGATGCTGGAAAACGAACTGCTGTATGGTGTTCCCTTTGAAATGTCTGAACAGGCACAGTCAAAGGATTTTGTTGTTCCAATTGGAAAATCCAAAATAGAAAGGGAAGGTAAGCCAAGAACATGTTCTATGTATCCTTACTAAGTGAACTGCCTGGGGACTGTTGTTTTTTTGTTGTTTTGTTTTTAAAATTCAGCTGTTGAGAGAGACTCTGGTCATGGGACATAAGAAAGTATTTCAAATATCCGTGTTATTTGTACTGTAGTATACTTAATTGTTCTGTTCCTTGTATAAAGAAAAATTACCTGATTCTCTGCACCTTATTTCAAACAGCAGCTTACTAAAAGATTTGTTCTTTATTATAGGGATAGTGTAGGTGATGTGCAAGGAAACCTTTTTTTCTTCACCTTTAATTATTTTTTCAAAAATGGATAAGATCACTGTAGCATTTCAGCCTCTTTGTTCGTAATTTACCACTGAATGATACAAAAGCTCAAAAGGGAAAACGTAAAAGCTATTAAATATCTGATCTCTGAATTAAAAGATAAAGTTTGTGTCTTCATATAGTCCTACTACCACTCTCCATGTTAAGTATGGGTGTGGAATACTTCACATTTCAACTAAATGAAAGGGACTTAAATTACAAGAGACTACTAATGCTACCTTGAAAAGAATCTAGGTCTTAGAGAAAAGCTTTAAGTCTTTATTTGCTTTTTTAACACTTTTTTTTTCTAGGAACTCATGTTACGTTAGTGTCACACTCAAGACCTGTTGGACACTGTTTGGAAGCAGCTGCTGTACTGGCCAAAGAAGGTGTAGAATGCGAGGTGTGTGGGGTTTCTGTTGCTTATCCCTTTCCCTGGACTTACGGCAAAAAGGTAGACAGGGTCCTTGTTCAGGCTCTGCAAAATGTCAGTTTGTAAACAACAACCTTCTTATATTTTAAGTGCCTTAGCAGTCAACAAGCCAAGCATGTGTGTTATGTGTTTCTGCATTTGACTATTTCATCACAAACTTAAGGCAGAACTACTAAAGATGTTCAAGATTGGCCTCTCTGTGTAAGCAGAACAATGACGCTACCTATCAGCATGGTTGTATCTAAATATAGCAAGACTCATCTGTCTGACACTTCGCAGGAGCCACCAGAAACTGTTCTGCAGAGCCTTTGTCAGGATAAAGTTAATGAAATTTTTAAGTCTTATCATGGAAGTCAGAACAGAACAAAGTGCTAGAGGACAGTGTACCCAAACAGCAGTAAATGACAAGCTTAGATCATAACAAAACTCACTCAATGCCTTTTTCAGGTGATAAATCTGCGCACCATTAGACCAATGGATATCGAAACGGTGGAAGCCAGCGTTATCAAGACAAACCACCTTGTAACTGTAGAAGGAGGATGGCCGCAGTTTGGAGTAGGCGCTGAAATCTGTGCCAGGATCATGGAAGGTACTGAGGTTTTTGATATACAAGTTGATCTCATTTCCTAGTCTAAATTCTGATGACTTCATGATAAAGCCAGATGAAGAGAAACTTAGTTGGAGCTTAAGTGTAGCTGTCTTGCTCTAATGGTGTTTATACAGTCAATTCAGCTGGCTTTCTGGTGTAAACCTTATCCTAAGAGCCTGACTATGAGAAGCAGGATGGTAACTTTCTGTCTAAACCGTAGTGCATGCTGATAAACAAGTAGGAACAGCTATCTCTGGAACTACAGGAAGAAAACTGTTGAAAGTATATTAGGCCTTAAATGCTAAATTGATGGAAAACCATAGTGTGTGTCAACCTGACACCTGTCTTCTGTTTCAGGATCTGCCTTTAACTACCTGGATGCTCCAGCTGTGCGTGTTACCGGTGCAGACGTTCCTATGCCTTATGCAAAAATTTTAGAAGATAACTGCATACCTCAAGTGAAAGATATAATATTTGCAGTGAAGAAAACTTTGAATATCTGAGTTGTAAATACATGTTTTAAAGTCCTGCTTTAAAAAGTATTAATGGTGTAAGGCAAGTTGTATGCGTAACTTTGTATAGCTACATTCTTTTGTACAGTCAAGTACAGTGATCTACCAGAAATATTTATATGGCTGCGTGTAACAGGGTTACCCTCTAAGCCACACTTGATAAAAGCAATGATGTGGTAATGCTTGTCTGTTAGTCAGCTTGTACTTCAGCTGTACAGGTGGGTTGGGATCTCCATGTATTCAAAATTCAAAGGGAGGAAAAACAACACTTCAATTTCTGCTTGGCTTGTAATTATTGGACTACCTGTGTTTAACTGACTCTGATGGTGGATGAGTGAAAAATAGTAGTAAAAGGGGAATTTGCCCTGAATTTAGTCCTGGAATGCCGCATATCTCTAGGAGCTAATTGCAAGGCTTTTTGATGGTGAAGAATCAAACTGGAGTTGAGCAAGGCCTTGCTTTCAGCAAGTGCAACTATATCTGTACGAAGTGGCCTGTGGTATGGGTTAAGAGCTAATGTGCTCAGGTTGAGGAGTACTCTTTCATCACACAGAAAAGCTTCTGCGCACAAGCTTAAATAAAGATCCTCATCCTCTTTGGTATGCAAGGGGAAATACTATCTATTTATTCTTTATTAGCTGTCACATTTGCTTTACTAGCTGTCATGTACAGTGATAAAACACTTGCTCCTATTTGTTGCTTTTATGTTTATTTTTTTTTTAACTTGCCAGAGGGATGAACAATAGAATGCTCAAACACTAGTTCTTATATGTGGGGGAAAAAAAAAGATTTTATTCAGAGTTGAGTAATAAACTATTTATTCAAAAGTAGTAGTTGTGTCTGAAGAGCTCAGAAAGAGTTGTAGTAGCTTTTAAGCTGCTAGACTGCAACCACATACCAGGGTTTAGCTAAGGGGCTATTCCTGACAGGTAATTTTTGGTCAGCAGCTTCTGTTACTGTCCCAGTACCAGAGTAAGCAGTGCCTGTAGCAGTCTGTGCAGCGTGACTTGCTCTATAGTCAGGAGAAGCTGCCTTCCCACTGAACTGGATACTTACCTCTCTTAAGCAGACAGAAGAGCTTAGGTCCTATTTCAGTTACAAGCCAGGAATACCTCTCAGGGTATTTCCTGGTAGCAGAAGTGCTATTAGGGTTTTTAGAAGTCTGGCTTGCAAGCAAAGTTCTATCAGAATACATCCACCACCACACTGCAGGAGGAATTCCATTACCATTTTAATAAAAATGACTGAATATCACAGGTTACATGAAACTTTGTACAGACATTCTCTGCATAGTAACAAACACTGATGTATCTGAATTTAAAAAATGGATTATCTATAATCCTTTAAAGTGCAATTTAAGGTTTTAGTCAAATCAAAAAGGATCTTTCAATAAAGTTTAAGCTGTAAAATTAACTTGAAGTAAAGTCCCATTTAACTAAATCATGAATAATATCCCGGTGCCCTCTTAACTCCCATTTCACCTGTTTCCTTACTTAAAAAAACTTTCCTTTAGAGTTGCAGGTAGGATGTCCATTAAAACAAGTTTGAGACAGCATTTTTACTCCACCAACAAATACGGTGGGAATAAGATTTAATTCTCCAGTTCCCTCACCTGTGCAGTATACTTCAAAGGTTGGTTTGGTGGGTTGGCTTTACTTTTTTGGATTACCTAAAACAAAACTTGCTGATTCGATGCAGGAAGAGTGAGATGAGTTACAGTTATATGAATAGTACTGAAAAAATCTTACAGCAGACTAAAACTAGATTCCTGTAATTTGGAAAGAAAAGTGGGGAAACAACTAGAAAAAAAAAAAGCTTCAATTCACCTTGATTGTGGTCGTTCCTATTTTCAGATTTTTATTCAGCCATACAGCCCAGATAGTGTAGCTAGAGAAAAAAGTTCTTAAAACCAAATAAAAGAATAGAATATTTAGCATGGCAATGCAATCCACAGTGTAGTGCTGCTGCTCAAGGAAAGCTGAAAGAGGGGTAAAATGGAGCTACAGCGTGGTTAGCCGCTCTATGCTGGTGAATGTCGCCACGCAGAAGGGGCTTGTTCTGAGACAGCACAGGAAGGGGAAGGGGAATTCAATCCTGGTGGAACCGGTAGCCTCAGCTGATCCTGGGAGCGCTGTAGTCACACGTCTGTGTTTTCTTCAGAGTTCCTTTCTGAAAGTTTTGAATGGAGCTGAGTAAAGCTCCTCGGCTTGCGCTGATGGCGGGCTGAGGGCTCGGCTGCATTGGCACCTCTGTACTTGGAGGAGGAGCTGCTGGTGGCAGGGGCGGCGGTGGCGGTGCTGGGGGTATCGACGATGCTCCTGTTGAGTTGAGGAGAGAAGATGTTTGAGTATGCCCAGGAGGTCCTGCCGCAGAGCGCTGTGGCTGTGTAGCCAGACTAGGTCAGTCCTGCACTAGTCACGTCACTCCTTGAAAGCAAGTGCAGTGTGAAGAACAGAACGGGTGAAAAATGCCAAAAGTGATCTAATCCCTTTATCTGCAGGTGGGTTGTGTCACCTGAGTACACTTCTAAAAGAAGCCTGAAGTGCCTCAGTATACAAGGATGCAAAACATGACTCAAACGTGATCTTGCACTGAAGGAAACAGAACAATTAACAGAGCTCCCCGGGCTCAATTTCTATTGTTTGTCTCCAGTGAAGCCGTTTGCTCTCATAAACAGTACCAAATACTGGGAGCAGATCTTACTAACTTCATATTTATATGATTAATGTTACACACATGGACCACGTTGCTGTAGCATTTGTGATACCTGGTCAGGTTATATTTCATTTTTAGATGACTAACTGCAGATAGAGAGTTTATGAAAATGTTTTACACTATCACTGTCAGACCATCCAACCATGGAGAAACAAGCAAACGCCTGTTTCAGAGGCCAAATGAATCACAACAATCTGCCACTCACACCACTTGCCTTCCGCCTGTACCCCCACCTTGCAGTCTGGCCCTTGCTTTTGACCCCAGTCACATCCCTCTCGTATTGTCTCATTGTGCTTCAGGCTCCGTGTCCTGACAACTTGCAGGGAGAGGGCTGGGCAGCCAGAGACCAGAGCTGTGCATGCAGGCATCTAACCCAGCAGTGAGGATCCTGGCAGCTCAGATCCCAGCAGATGGCCTGACTTGCCCCAAGCTGCTCTCCTGAACACCCTGCTCTTGTGCAACTCAGCTGCTGCACATTACACCATAATTTCTACACAAGTAATCAAAGATAAATGGCAGGAGTAAGAGCAAAGGCCAGAGGTGACCCTGTGCTGTTCCACAAGACAACCACGTGAAGGTGGCATTGGTAGCACATCCCAAGCTGGATGGGGAATGATGGGCCTGTCCTCTCTTATGTTCTGGAATGAGGAGGGGTATAAGGGTTAAGATTTAGGATTATTGAATGATGAACTTTAACTCCATTGTCTAGTTCATGAATTACTCCAAAATATGGCTAGAGAGACAAACAACATCTATAGCCCAACACTTGGTTTTGGTAACTAACCTACAACGAGGAATAGACTGGTAAGCAGCAAGAACTATGATACTTTTGGACAAAAGAGCAAACAACGTGAGGCCAAACAAGAGATTACGGTTTCTGAAGTAGGAATACTTGCTATGAAGTAAATAAATACCAAGAAGTTACTGGAAATTGTGTGACATAGATTCAAGAAGTATTCAAAGGATAAAGCTCAGCCACACAAAGCAAAAAAAGGTGTCAAGATGCTCTCTGGGCTCTGCTTCCTTCTCAGTTTCTAACTAATGCTTTCTCTCAGACTAACAGGCAATAGCAAGGAAAAAAAAAAAGCTGCTGTAAGAAAATAAAGTATTTGTATTAGATGAAAGTCATAACTCAAAGCTCCTTCATTTTCAATTTGTACCAGTCTTTGAGACTTTTACCATATGGTACCAAGCTCCAAATAAAGAGTATTTACACAAAGCATTCTATTTTGCCAATGAACATTAATACAGGCTATGATTATAGCACTTCAGACTCACAGAAGAAATTCTCATTGGCACGAAAACCCTTCTCTGTGACAAGAAAACAGAAGTCTGTATCAGGCTCTTGTTTTCACGCTCCTCCCTTTCAGAAGTAGCATTCAAGTCTTAGCAGAAATACCAGGGATCAAGTGGAACAATTTAACATGCCCGTTGCATGTGGATCAACTACTCTCTTAAGTAATCAGAGCATTGCACAATGTTAGCATGAACTGAAATAGCAAACTGCATATTGATGCCTTGAGGTCATCTAAATATCCAAACCTGTGTTTTTACAGTAGCCAAAGATATAATTTGTTATTAGAAACACTGGAAAATCATCCCCTAGGCTAGAGTCCTGTGTCTCATGTCTCTGCATACACACTGACTGTAGAGCACAGTAACGCAAAACTTGACAATTTGCCACAAGAACAAGACCAAGAACAGTTGAAGTAATCACTTTCGAGGTTAAAGTGGTCAGAGCAGAACAACACAAAGGTCTGGCGTCCCAACGCTAGCATCAAACTTGGGATCAGATTAACAGCTGTAAAAGAGCCAAGAATGGCTCATCACAAAGGAGTTGGCCTTGGTTAAAGGCCGGACCAAATGATCTTAAAGGTGTTTTCCCACCTAAACTATTCTATGAAAGAGATGCAAGAGTTGTAGAGAACAAAGACAAGATTTTTAGCTTAACAGCAAGATGAGATCGAAGAGGTTATGCAAGTAGGTTGTACAAGACACAACTAGGGAACGATGATGAGAACAGTGGCAAGGACTTGGTGTGGAATACAAACAGTAATACATTCAGCAAAAGAAGGTACCTATTTGACAATGGGCAAAAAGCCACTATATAAGAATTAGGCCAAGTTTCCATGTGCTGCCTTCAGATTTTGGTCTGGTTATTTCAGAACGGTGTCATAAAGGACACAGAAGTAGGGGGAGAGGCCACCTTCCTGCAAGTGTGTTAAGTTCCTCAGGACTAAATATTACTGAAATTGTGCTGCCAACATCACACAGTTAAAAGAAACTCTTAGGAGATCTTATCTCTGCCTTAAAATATAAATACACACAGGTTTTAAGATAGTATCTGACTAGGTGTGACCATTACATATTGAACCTGTTATTTAAAAGCTTGATTCTGAAAATCCTTCAAATCTATTCATTTCAATTAGTCGCGCAGTCCTTCCCTTCTGGACATGAGTGGTGCAAAAGAAATCTTAGCTCACTCCAGTGTATTTGTACACAGCTACATCTACTAAAAAATTGTTCTACCCAACAATGAAGTATTTTCCCATATTTACCAGGAAAAATTTTTCAGACAAGTGCTCAATTATCCCTAGACCTTTCTAATGCATATGCTGGAAGGAGTTGCCTGCAAACACACATTTACTCATTTACAGTTATAACAATAAAACACTCAAACAAGAACTTACCAAGGGTTTTTTTACAGGGACATTTTTGTTAAGAGAGTGTGTTAAAAGGAATAGGAAGTAAATCAGATGCTGTAAACTTGATGCCTGAATTGAAACAAAAACTTAATTATGAATTTAAAGTGACAGTAATTGTGCAAATAGCATTAAAAATTTGCTGAGAGAATGGGATGCAAACAAAGAACATCATTTTAGTGGTAGTTTTTAAAGATGCTGTATTTCATTAAAATAATCCATAAGAATGTTCAGATCTTTTTCTTCTATTCCCTCCCAATACTAAGCAAGTTTAAGATTTGCATTCAACTTTCCCATACAGAAACAGAGCATCTTTAAAGAGATAAATCAGCATTAGCTTACTTTTCCGAAAATTCACGTTCAAAATGATGCATGCTCTATTGAAGACAGCAGAGAAAGAGAGAGGACACAAGTTAATCATCCAGGATCTCGTGTCAAAGTAAGAAAAACAGATAGCGTTAGCTGAAAATTTAGTACAAAAATCAATACATTCTCATTCACTGAAAAACGTGGGGATAGCAGATTGATTTTTTCATGTTACATATTCAATGCTGTGAATTCTGAACAATGAACCACCATTTTCCATGCTGCAAGGATTATTATACCTGATGTACAAATGCAACACACACATTTTCAATTGCACATGCTGTAATTCAAGCTTTACAGTATTAAAGTGCATTGAGAGGTATTTAGCAAGAAATCTGCAGGAATATTAGCCACAGAAGATGAAATTCATTCAGCTCGTGGAACACGTCCTGTCACATTAACACCCGAATTTACACTTATGCTACATGGATTAGACACTCAAGAACAGTGCTTGCTAAAGCATTAAAATGGTCTTATAGACAGCTGAAGAGCAGAAAAGATGCACCACATGGCTCTTCAGGAAACATTCAGAACAACTGGCACAGAAAAAGCTAAAGTACAGTACAACTCTCGCACTTTATTCTCGCAGGGCAGCAATCCTATTTATTGATATCATTCTGAAGGGGTTGGCCAAAATGGCACCCTCCAAACTTCTATCACAGAGAGCTTTCTGGAATTTTATGGGCTTACTGGATTTGGAGAAAATGTAGTGAAGTTTTAAATAACCCACACCACAGTGTTCTACATCCCTTCTGATCCTAGCCACAAAGAACAATAATAGACATTCAAGGAAGCAAAGTAATAGAAATGTGCAAGTAGGGGGGAAAATATAAATCAAACATGCAAGAGAGAATATCAGAAACACAGAAGTTACATTAGGCTCATTGATCTAAATGTATTTCAAAATGGTAGTTATCCAGGTAACTGCAACAAAACTGACCCAAAACAAGTGAGAAACTAATCAGCGAGAAACTCCCATGGGAATCCAGGTCTCTACTAGACACCCTCTCCCCTCAGAGCAGGTTACATTCAATCCTACAGCTGCAGCCATCGTAGCTGCACTCATTTTCATTCCTGGTACATTTTGCATTGACTACACCAAGCGCTCCACTGCAAGCAAAGTCTCACACTTTGTTCAGAGAGGAAGCACATCGCAACGTGCAAGAAACCCCCGGAATGAGGTTCCTTCCCCAGGGCATAGCAGCCTGGTCAGTGTTTCTGGCTCTGTACATACCCACAAACCACATTGACGAGGATGGGAACAGGCCACAAGGACAGAAGCTTCTGTTGGATACCCTTTTCCCTATCAGCCTTCTTTTTGGTTTGGCACTGTATCAGCAAGATGCTTTAACATGCCATGATACTAACACACCACAACCAAACCAGAAAGACAGACTGAAAACCTCATTCGCCTTTTGAGGGTCATCTCACCACACTGACATCCACAAGCAATATCCAAGAGGTAAATATCCTTAGTAAACCAAAAGAAACAGGAAAAAAGAGAGAGAAGCTACAGATGCATAAACTGTCACCAAAAAAAAAGTCCTACCATGGGGCCAGTGAGTTTTGCAACAGGTCATGAACACAGTTGCACAAAATAGCTACAAGGACAACATTTATGGTGAAAAATCAAACACGCTACCTTTCTCTTGGAGCTAGTATCTGAAGTTTCTTCAATAAATTCTACTTACAAAAGCACTCCTGAGATGGTGATGCTTGCCTTCATGCCAACTCAAATGCATCGACACCATCAGCCCACCAAAGCACTCCCAGATTTGAAAGCAGGTCAGGCACTGTGCACCATGTCAGACATGGGGCAGATCACTAAAAGTCTCCACATGTACACTGCCAGCAGGATGACCAACACTGTGACGGGGTGGGAACATCAAAGCCAATTTTTTGGGCCAAAACATGAGCTGTTTTTAGCCATCTGAGCCATGTCTACACACAAACCTGCACCATATGCTCAGAACTTGAAAGAGCTTGCAGTCAAGTTCCAACACACATTAAAACCAAAATGCAAGTAAAAGGTAGTCTGATTTCAGAAAGAAAAATAATGTTTTCTAAATCCCCTTTTGAAGGCATGGGATTTTCTTCTGCGTTTTCAGCCACTTCCTATTTAAAGCATACAGAACGTGAAATAAACCCTCCAGCTAGGAGTCAATGCATCCAGAGAACAGAGCTGTTATTGTGCAACACAACAACTGTAATTAACTTGTTTAGAGTAACTGGAAGAAGTTACTTCAGAAAACATACACTTCAATGTGCTCCCAACTTGAAGGAGAAGTGACTAATTTGAATTTCAGCACAAATGATTTGAAACTCAAACTCACAAGCTGTAGCATCCTTTGAAAGACCACCCACAGCAAACAAATTTGATTTCCTCACTTTGGTTAACAAGTTGTACTCTACAGAAAGCTCCTGTGAGTAGGAATTGTATGGCACGAGTTGTCGTAACAGACATTACAGACAGCTTCCCTTCCAGATATATTCTCCATTAACATCTTTTGCTGTTAATGTTTGCCAGTGCTGCTTTTCTAGCCTTTCTGACTGAAGCCTGTCCACTGTAGCTCAATATTCAGATTTGCAATCAAACTTTCACAAGTATTTCTATTTCTGGCGATGCCCACTCAAGCAGATTCTGCACCACATCCCACCACCTGTCCTAAACATTAGCAAAACTGTCTGCACAGCTACCTAGCAAATTGGAAGAGGCAACTGGCTAAAAATGAAGTGTTTATTTTTGACCCAAATCTCTTTCTGATTTGTTTCTCTGCATAAGCTGCTCTACTGGTGTCACCAGTGGGCTAGCAGAGAAGAGATTTATGCAGCCTAAGCTACCCAATTTGTCAGACACAAAACCTCTGAAATTACAACACAGCAATACAGGTGTAAACAAACAGTACACAAAAACAAGGGATCAACAAACAGTATTTCAGAGTCCCCTGGCCATTAACATCAGAACAAATGGATATTGCAACATGAAAGCCAGAAAATGTCTGGAAGGTAGCAATACTCATAGGACTAGACTAATAGAGACTTTGAAACAAACACTTATGCTCTATGGGTAAATCAGGTATACCACAAGAAAAGGTTATTAAACAAAAAGAAACTGTATTAAGTTCTCTATGGCCCTCAAAAGCGAGCAAATGCCCACGCTCAGGCTGATACAAGATAAATGCCATCTCTTGTGTTCCATCCTTGAAGACCATCATCCCTTAATCATCTTTGGAAATAATACAGTTAGGGAGGTTAAAAAAAAAAAAAAAAAAAAAAAACACACAAAGAAAAAGACAGACACTATAATGACTCTTGAGCTTACCTGCTGTAGAGGGTGGCGTGGGGGATGATGGAGATGTTAATGGGGAACTCGCCCCAGAGCCTGCTAAATAAAACAACAGTCTAGTAACTAAAGCTGTGATACAAAATTCAAAAGTCAGACAAGACAGATTGTTGAAAACAGGCCAACTTTATTGACTGATGATTCAACCCTGCTTCCACTGAAAACTTGGGAAAAGTTCCCATTCATACGGATATTGTCATTCCGACCCAATCTGAACAGAGAGGCTTTATGGCACATAGTAGGAGAGGAGGTCCAAACACATTAGAAGCACATTCAACAGCACTCCTCAATGGGAAACCCTTCTTTTCTGTTGCTTAGGCTGTTGGATTTCAGCGTCCAAATTCTGTTTTCCTTAAGAGTTGTGCCACTGCATGGATGGCACCCCACTTCTCCTTCTAAGAGATGATTTTTAGTCAGTTGCTGTACTCCACAAGTTATTCTGACAATTCCACAGTAGGCTGCTTTCGGACACATTTTAAGCATGCAAGATAACTGTCAAACTTTTCATTAGTACACACCATTCCTTTTAAGTAAAGGACCTGTCAAATGCTTTGTTGTTTTAGAAATTGACACCGAAGCAGCAATTGAAAAGATATTTTTTTCATTCATCTTAATACCTTACTGAAGAATACAGATCACCCTGGAGTTTCTCTCCGAAGGCTGCATCATTGAATGGCCCACATCATGGTATTATTATGCCACTCAAATGTCAAACAGATTGAAGAAACTGATTTTATTTTATTTAATTTATTTATTTATTTATAGGAATAGAGCACAGAAGAGAGGACAAAGTGTTTTATATTAGGTAGCTGAAAAATCTCAAACTGATGGCATTTTTAAGCCCTCAATTTATATATTATTAAATACTCAAAACAGTGCTATCAGGCTTGGTAGTCCAACATTACCATGTAAACTAATGGTGACCCTGGATCTTTTTTAGACAGAAAATTACAGTAACAACAAAAAAAAAATCATCATAGCTGTGTAGAAGCAAACTCTTTTCTCTGTAGTTACCTGAGTTATTTGAGTTGCTGTATTTTGCTGAGTGTTCTTCCCCACTTTCATAGGCAGAGCGTTTTGACTTCTTTAAACAAAGCAAAAGAAACAGAAGGTGTAAATGAATAACCTCTTTCCTTGATGGGGACTGAGCTGACACAGAGATTTGTAACAGCCATCTGCTGTATCACACAAGGTTTATCAATGCCCAATACTGTTCTCCCTGCATCCAACATGTGGCTCAAATACCTCCAGGCAAGCAAAAAGGACAACTTCAGTACCCTCTGACAGCAAGGGAAATGCAGAAAGCTGACCCACCAAAAAGGATCAGAAACACAGTGTGCTATAGAAGAATGAAAAACTGCTCCAAGACCTTCACCAGGGCAGCAAGCAGCAGCAGCACAGGCTGTTATCTGTGTATTAGGTATTAACTAAGCCTGTTTTCATTAAGTAACCTTAAACAGGTTAAACCAATATACAAGTCGGCTACCATTTAGGAAAAGTTATCACTTCAAATAAGGAGGTAGTACAGAGAAGCATGAAACAGAATCCAGCAGCACACCTGTGGTTGTTCATGCCACACATTCAGTAATTTTCTGTGTGAGAAACCTATTTAAAGACTGATTACCTTTCTTGCTAAGATCTTCCTTTTCTTTTTTTCTTCTTCAGAGCCATGATGAGACTGCGCTCTTGTCAGTCTTCTGTGCTGGTGAATCTTCAAAATTAAGGGAAAATAAAAAAAAGACAATGTTAAAATCTCAAATATTGTCAGGCAAGGCATATGCTTGGCATGCAAGAAAAGAACACTGTAGTCACTTTGCACATTTAGTTTTCTTTTAAAATTTTTAACTCTAATCTTTACTGTTGCTGGTAGATTATGGAGCCTCACACTGCAGTTAAAATGATCCTTTAACTTAGGAGTCACTGTGAAGCTGCACCACTTGAAACAGTCTAACGCCATACATTCATCAGCTGTTCTACAGCTCCTCAATACTGTATTTTTTGGGAAAGCAAATATGGTGATGAAAACCTTTATTGCTCAAAATCACTGAGTAAAAGGTCACTTTCCCCATTTAAACATGTTAAGAGGAAACAATGTCTGTAGGAAATACAGTAAAGAAATGCAGTAGTTACCAATTTCTGTTCTTCTGTTAATCTTTTTTCTATGCATTCCTTGGACATTTTCAATGCCTCTTTTAGCTTAGTAGGAACCTAATACAGAATGGGGAAAAAATAGCACAAAATGTGATAAAGGAAAATACAACTTCACAGCTCAAAACTCACCATTCATCTGACCATGTTGCCTGTCTAAAGCCAGGAACAGCTAATTACTTTGGTACCCTAGTCACATCCCCAAAATGCCATAAGGCCGACCACCACAAGACACACAGCACATGCCTGCTTTGGAGCAGTTCCCTGATAGGGGCAAGAAGCAGCTCCCTGAAAGTCCCAGCACTGCAGCTGGCTACAACGTGCCAGTGATCTAACCTAGCAAAATCAGATGCCACAGCCCTTAGCAATTTCAGCAAAACGAGGCTGCTAAGTAGGGCACCATGATTAATCATGCAAATTAGCTCCAATACAAGAGCTACACTTGAATCACGCATGGGTCACACTGTGCCCTCTTTGAAGAGTTGATATAATTTTCTTGGGTATGATTCAGCAAAGGAATCCAAATACCAATGGGAATCACCATAAAGCCAGGTAAAGCCAGCTGTCCTCTACCCTATTTGTTAATTGATGCATAGCTACCCACAACTTGGTGCTTCCACAAACATCAGCAAATCAACGTTCAACTTTACCTTAAACTGTGGTTTCTCAGAGCTTGTTAGCAGGACATCACTGAATAATCTGTGAGTGGGTGCAAAAAAGAAAAAGAAAGGAACATTATTCCCAAGAGACAGGCAGAACCGGAGGGAATACTACTGGTACTGTTCACCTAACTCCCTCTTTCCTCTTTTCCTTCTCTGTTCTCTTCCCTACCTCACTGTTTTTTTCCCCCCACAGACGATGTACTGCTTTTTATTTTCCAAGCCCTGCTTATAATTAGCAGCATCGAGCCCTCAGAACATAGCCACTACTGACAGCAGAATTAGCAAGGCTCTAGGATGTATTTTGAAAGCTGAAAGAATGGCTGTAATTATCAAAGGCAGACAAGGACTTCCCAAAACAAATGATTTTTCCTTGTAAGTACATTGATTCCTTAATAACAGAAGATTGACAGGGACCTTAATAAATTTCACCTAAGAAATCATTGATCTTTTCAGGTGCACTCTTAGCACAACTGTTACTTTAGCATTAACAAGAACCATGTAAAAGATCAATGAGCAAACATTTCAAAATATCTGCATTCTTGTCCATACTCCAGCAAAGGTAATTAAAGCAACTATCCTAACAGTTTCACTCACCTCCATCAGCAAGACTATAAATGATTATTACTTTTCCATCCAAAACAAAGACACTAGAGGGCAATGTTAGTCTGAAAATCAACTACTTAGTCCATTTCAAGGTACTTTGTTCTGGAGAACATACTAGAAAACTGTCCCAGAAAGAGATCACCAAGCCTGGCTCCCAAATAAGCATTTCAGAGATTTCTGTTGACGTTCACTATGGAAAGTTATCACAGTTCTATACTAGAGAAAACAAAATTAAATATAGAATCAAGACTGTAAGATCAGTAGTCCATGAAAAAATCAGAAATAACTCAAATTAAAACAAGGCTAAAGAAAAAAAAAAGCTCACCTTTGTTTACAGGGCAATTTTCTGCCCCTTTCTGATTACATATCCTTGCAAAATTAAAGTAAACTCATAGTTTATTTGGAATAGCTTAACAAATATTTAAGTTATATTCATCACATTACACATTATGAAAAACACTTTTGTAAAGAGTATGGCTGTGAAGGGAATGTAGTACATATCCTACACAGCAGATAGAGCCAGGTACATTTATTGTTCACCATCTTCTAACACTTGTATATTCCTGTAGTCACAGTTTTCTTCCAGAATTTCTCCATACATTCTTCTCTCTACCTTCTGCTTCCTTCAAGAGCAGAGGAAGGGAGGAATAGAAGGAACAGAAGGCTGGGACACTGACTGCAGGGACCCGTCCCAACCAGGAAATATGACTCTTGGAGCATGCTCTAAACATCCTACAATCTGTACGATGTGAGATCAGACCCAGATTTAGATATGGGCAATCTGTCATTTATGAGGTCACGATTCTGGCACCCTCATACTATCAAAAAGCGAGCCCACCAGGAACTGTGATTCTGTGCTCAGCACGCTGATGACACGTCACAGCGCAGGGCCTGCAGACAACTTCCCCAGTACTGCTGTCTCCTAGCTGCAGGACGGGTGGCACTGCAGACAGGTACAGTCCTCCAGCTCAGTCATGCACTGACACTTGCTGCATCCTATTCTCACTCCGTATCCACTTTTACTACTTCACTACATCACGAGGAGGACAGCCTGGAAGGAAATATTTTCTGTTTATGCTTCATTGAAGTCCCTAAGGCAGCCTTGCAAGAAACCAGCCAGAACTTCTGCACAAGGCTTTGACCCAGTCTAAATGTTTCTGCCAAGCAGAGCTAGAGATTTATTTTGCTAAGTCGTAAGTAAACTGATAGCTAAATCTACTGAAGTAGATCTAAAAGGGTCACACAAAAACATTCCTTACACTAAATGCTTTAAATGATCTGTACATGTTCTTAATCATGCTTGCACTGCTTTAATAGCTCGATCATTTGAAACCACAGCGCCATGCTAAGTAAAGTGCACTCGTAACAGCTCCAGCACCCCGAAAGACAGAAATTTTAAATGAGCTCCTATCATATTCAAAAGCAATGGGACCATGAAGTCCATCAGTTTTAAACCCTCACTTGGGATACACTACACATCCCCCAGAATGAGGAACAAATCTTCCAGATAAGGAACGAGCAAAAAGATTCTTCCTCCTTAAATAATTAAAAATATTACTATGAGCATGGAACAAGTACATTAACACTTACGGCATCTGTAAGAGCCGTGAAACAGTTGGCATGCCATTCTTCATAGCTTCACAGGTCAGAATGGATTCCAACACAGACACTACCAAAGAAAAAATAAGTACGGACACATTTTTGCGCTACAGAATAGCAAACAAATTATAATGAAAGCCTGGCACTTCTGTGTTATGCTCCCCCACGTACTCCATCAACTAAGCAGTGATGAAGCTTTATGACACATGTTTTTTATTATAGTATTATTGTTACACATACAAACTTTTCAAGAATGTTAGACATGAGGCCAGGGGATCCAGACATCTAATCACTGCACACTGTTTTATCACTCATAAAAAAGTTTAAAAAAAAACATTTATATGCTATGTATTTGAGGAAGAACACATTTGCTATTTTTTAAAATTGCTAAATAATTTCCTGTTACAGGCTACTAAAGTCTTAGGCTCCAATTTCACAACATTTCAGCTTCAGTAAAAGGTAAGGTAGCCAGGAAGTCAGACTGACATTGTCTTAAACGTATACTAACCAACAAACACGGATGGTGCAGGAGGGAAGCTGTCTACTGGAATTGTATCTGGGGGTCTTCCATATGTCATTTCATACAGTAAGTGCCCAAAGCAATGTACATCAATGCTTTCTAAAGTCTGTAGAGGGAAAAAAAAAAATTAAAAAAATGAAAAACACAACTTGCCAGAACTAATTGGTTTATCCACAACTGGTTTTAAAACATTCGGTAACAATTTTGAGAAAAAAGGTGGCCTTGCATGAAAAGAGGAATCATTAAGTTCCCAACCACTGCCTAACCCCGCACAACTTTTACCTCAAATGAAATCTTAACATCTCAAGCAAAAGAAGTTACTTCTTTCTTTCTTTCAGCACATGATAATGCAAACCAGAGCACATTATTGTCATGTTCCATAAAAATGCGTAAGGAACAATTTCATTTCATACACAGAAGATTAGAGAACTGTATGCTGATACAAATCACAGCTGAACGCATTTTCCTAGCTACATCAAACTGGAAAGAGTAAGAGTCGTGACAATACAACCAGCTGCCACTTTGCTGTCTTTGTATCTATCTCCCTGTAGAAATACATACCAAACAAAGCTAGGAGAGCCTCCTTCACCCCTCCTTGGGCTTGTATAAGCTGTACATATGTGCAGCATAGTTCTGAGATTTCTGAATCATGTTTTATAGAGAAGTGGATTCTCTTACTGGAGGAGGCTTAGTGCTTTCATGGCACTAAAAGATTTGGACTAACCATGAACTTTTGATCATTTCTCTTGCTAAACACAGTAAAACTTGTTTAGCAAGGTCAGCAAGCAGCTGTCTCATGATGCTGTATGTAATTTATTACAATATACATTGCAAGGCAAGGCGCTAGCTAAAAGACTGTATCACTACAACAGGACAAATTAAGTTTAATATTTTGTAGGAAGATAGTATTTTCCTGTATAAACCTACAGTTAATAGACACCCTTCAGATAAATTTTAAAAAATATCTTTTATAAGCTTGATGTGTACAAGTATGAAAAGCAGTCTTAAAAACAAGGCTGCAGTTTACCTATATTTGTGCCAGTGTGTGGCTGTCAAGAAAACGCTAATTTGCACTCCCCTTCTGCTCACTACAGTGTCTATAGTGTGCTGCAGCAAAACTTATTTGCAGCCACATTGAAAGTAAAATAGAAGTAAAAAAGGTGGTAGGGGATCATTGAGGGAGACATTTTTCATTCAAGTCAGTTCTCCACAAACACTAGTTGAGGATCAAGGGATGTGTAAGAATCAACTACATTAATTTTCTGAAACTTACATTAATTTTCCGAAACTGTGAAAAGTATGATCGATAAAATGATGGAAGTCCCAACAAGGAATTTTCTAGATCCAAGTAACTTGCACGTGTCCCCATCCAACATTACATTGGCAGCATGAAGATGGCCATAAGGAAATCCTTTCTCATGTAAGAATTTTAATACCTGAAAAAAAAATCCAAGACAGAAGCACTGTCACAAGACTCTCTGATAATCTCAAGATCTCAAATGCTCCAGTACTAAAGCAGACAAATAATAAACGAGGCCTCTAATTTAGAATGCCTGCTCAACTTGATCTTCTATCTGCATCACCTTTGGCTGATTATTCATTCCCATTTCACTGGTAACATTTCTCACAAAACAAATATTTGATGCTAATACTCAAAGCTGACTTATGGACACCTCCCAGAGAGACATGGAAACTAAAAGTCACAATTCTACAGAATATTAAAGTTTTAAATTTTTTTATTTAAATCAGTGACAATGATTTTGTGGTCCATATTCCATAAGATATGAATTACTTCTTTCCCTTTTCTCCCCATGGTACATAAACTACACTACCACCTCTCTCCCACCTCAGCTCCACATGTAACAGCTGCCTTTTTATTATTCCTTTTTTTTTTGTTTATTTTTCGTCAGAAGTGGCCTCACACATAAATATCTAAATTCAAGTACCAGCAGTTAATCTCAATTTAAATTTAGCTTTGAAGACTGCTGCCAAGAAAAAAGCTTGCATAAACAGAAGTTTGTCTATTTTTCTACTTAGTTGGTCTCAAAAAAACAAAAAAAAACAAAACAAAAAAAAAATCAAAACAATTAAACACCCACCAACACATAAAGGCTGGTAAAGAAAGCAAAAAAAATTACCTCTAATATTTGTCTTCCATATGTTTTTATTTGCTGAAGTTCAAGACCTTGAATTTTTTTAGGATTGCAATACTTCTTCAGGAATGGGTCTTTTGGTTTTGCCTTTAAAAGAAGTATACGTATCAAGTAGCATGCCCAGAAAAGCCAGGAATTGTCTTAGCTTGCTTAGCAATACATTGTAAACAGTTTTAGAAAGACTGGTCATTCCAACCATTTGAACTGGGGGAAGAGGGAGAGAAGACATTACCTTATAAATAAGGTCCTTTAGTGTCCCTTTTTCACTGAATGGTCTAATAACCAGTGCTGAAGATTCATTGGCAGTGGCAAAAGTGATTTTGTAAATATAGGGATGCTACCAAAAGAAGAAACTCTAGGTAAGTTTCAGATGACAGATTTTGTAATTAATTTTTGCTTGATTCACAAGAAACACAAGATCGGTCTGAATTGTATGTTTGAAGTAATAAATTGGATTCTGTCAGTGACATTTGCTCAAGTTATTCACTCTTACCCTGAAGCAAATGCAAAGAAAACTTCACAAGGACATTGCTCAATATCCACAATAAATCCAGAAAAATCCACTGTCCTCTTTGTTTTAAAAATTAAAAGACTGGGAGTTTAGACAAATGAAGAATCCACCCCAATTAACACTTAATACATTAGCTAAAAATTCATTCATGGTTTTATACAACTATGGCACACAAGGAAAGACAGCATTAATAATTGTCATAACAGCCCTACATCTTTAGAAATCCGTGTAACAACTTCCTGGAACGTTATAAAACCAAATGAGACAGCACATGTTGAAATAAATTACATGTGCAACACATACATCAACTGAAATTGCTAGTTAGGAAGAGACCCCTTGTTCAGATCTTATTTTATTATACTGGGTTTGGTCTGGTTTGGGGGTTAAATTGGACTACATGTAGAGGTTTACCCATTTGAAATACCATCCTTTTCAGCCAGTCCCTTTATTCGGACAGACGTCTACTGGATTTATAAGGTGTCAGTTTTATAATTTGGCATTACACAGGAACTTACACTGTACAACCTTCATCGCGCCTCTAGTAAGACATTGCTGTCCCAAGTTCAAAGAACCAAAAAAATAATGACTCATTCCACTGCCTTGTGCACTGCTCCCCAAGAATATCCCCAGTACACTGGATAGCAATGACACCTAGGCAGCACTACCCTAACAGCCTAAAAGTATTGAGAAGATGAAATAAAAGCTCGTGATCTCACAGTACTGTACCAGATGGGAAAAATACAATTAGCTACAACTCAAACTTCTGTAAAAATCCTGCAGGTTTATTGTTTGCACTGGGAACATGTTAGCTCATATTGTGCGGGGAATTTAATTAAAAGGTTCACACATCTTTAAATGAAAGGAAAATTACAAACTATTTCTAACAATCTAGATGTACTTCTGCAAGATCAGCTTTTGTAAGCACTTTTTTTTGTGTGCTGGCACACTTAAAAGTCTTCAAGGAATACTCACAGAGCAGGAAGAAAGAAGTTTCACAGCATACTGTAAGTCTTTGTCAGACAAGTATTTATCAGGGCCTAGATCAGCCTAGAAATGAATAGGAAAAGAAAAGGCATCACAATATATGTTGCATTCCATAAAAAAAATGATCTACATTCTGCTCTCACAAATTAAGACAGCTGCTCAAAGGTAAATTTTGAACAGCAAATTACACACAAAGAAGCAAACTTTAAAAGGCTGAATGAGTAAGGTCATGCTTTCACAATACAAAGCATCTGACCTTACAGTAAGCAAGCATTATTGCCTGCTTCCTCCTCCATATCTGACCTCTATTACTACCACTGTATGAACTCTGCCAAACCCAAACTGAAGCACTGTGTAAACTGCGAACTAGTAAAGCATAACTCTCACCATTCTTCCCCTCCACCAAAACCACCTCTCCCCTTCTTCTGCAGGTTTTAGCAACACCTACCCTCCAGTAAAGTCTCAGTAACAGCTGTGCTGATACAATAAAGAGGGCAACAGGTTTCAACACAGGAGCATAACTAAGTGTTGAGGAACAACAAACTATTTGGCGTCCAAAAATGCCTGTGGCAAAGGAGCAATCTGTGCCTTTCTCACCTACTAGCTTGTCAGAACCACTAAACAACCTAGTAAAAATAACCCAATATTGAAAAAGAATCGCCTTGTTACTTTTGGTGAGCTATGTGACACTATGATCACCAGCTACATACACCATTACTACTAAAGAACAGTAAATGGGGGTGCAGGAGTGGGAACCTGGCACAGAAATTTTTAAATTGGACTTGCCACCAGAGGAAAGAAACAGAATTTTCCACACCACACAACCAACTAAGGGCTCTCAAGATGCTTTCAAAGCGTGAGCTCTTGAATCTGTCACTAATGCCAGGTAGTTGATATAAACAAAACAAGGAAAGATAACTATTAAAGACTTGGGAATTCCATAAAAGTATATATACCCAGCTTAACATTAGCCGTTCCTTTGGTTGATTCTTTATCTTCATTAAGAAATATTTCTTACGTATTCGCCAACCTACAAGAAAAGAGTCATCAGCAGGTTTAATTAAAACATTAGAAAATGACATGGCTTACATGCAGCACAAGGCTTGTAAGCAACGATAGTACTGTTATCTTAGGACAACCCACTGGAAAAAATAAGACAAGTTTTCACGCATACATGTTCTTCTTACCTATATCTTTTAATGGCTCCACCACTTCCCACTTTGGCTCTGATCGGAAGAACATTGAAACATGCTGTAAGGCAATTTCTGGAAAAAATAAATGTTTTTGAGAGACTATTTAATGTGATTTTTTGCACATATTAGGTAAAGTTCAATGCCAGAAGGAAGCCTGCAGGAATTAAGACTCAGTCAGCAAAATCACTTTAAAAGGAAATCAGATAAAAACACAGTTACAGGGCATTTGCATTTTTAACCTGAGAAGTCAAATCCACTGAGAAAACAGAGAAAGCACTGCCTTCAGAAAACACAACTTAGTGGGTTTGCCTTCTATTTCTACTAGATCTACATTTCCAAGCCTAAATGCAAGACTTTCCACAGCTGGAATACCCTACATTAGATTTAAAAATGTTTTTGCCATGCCTGTAGAAGTGCTAACTTGTAAATCTCTTAATGTGCGCCTACACTGTCATTTTTAACATGTAAATGCATCAGCTCTTTGTTTTGCTACATGTTATTCTGCCCTTTTCAGTGCAGGCAAAGGTATTTTTCTAGCTGTCATGATCCAACATGCATTTCTGAGACGGAAAACAAAAAACAAAACAAAAAACGGACACCCTTCTGGTTACTGAATTCTCCCACAGCTGGGAATACAACTGGTGTATTCATGAAGCGATTTAAGGGGAAATCTCAGTGGGAAGTGGTGACAGCAGGGGCAGAAAGGGAACCATGCCAGCAAGGAGTTTTCTCTCACATGGCTTATCTTGGTTTAGAAACACAGCAAAAAGGTAAGGATGCACCATATCTCTCTGCAGCCTGTCCTCTCTCTAAAAATATGCTATGAAAAAGAGAGGTAACAATGCAATAAATATCAGCTCACTGCCCCAAGATTAAAAACAGACAAATTGATGGTGTCTCCAAAGACCACAGGCAATAATTTGATTGCTACTTACTTCTCTGCAACTTGCACAAAAATAATTTTGATGAAAGCATTCAGAATTAACACAGAAATCACAGTATCTCCTAAAGGATTTAAATTGTTTGCTCAGCATTAGCCAGACAAACTGCATCCTTAAAGAGTTACTAGTAATCTACATCTCCTCCACAGCTTAGCATAAACATCCGGGAAATGTTCTTTGCACTTTGAAGCTGAAGACAGAAAAATGTTTCATAAAGAGAGAGCAAAAAGACAAGTGAAAAGGAAGCAGTAAGTTCCTGCTTGAGTAGGCTGGCTGTGCTTTTATGAAAACAAGCTTTGCATTTTGCAAAGAGTCTGTGGTGTGGGTTTCATCACGAAGGGGAAGTTTTTCAGTCTATCACACAAATTCTAACCATTTCCAGTGGATGAAGCCAGACAAATTCAAAGAAGAAACATTTAATAATGAAGAGAACCAATCACTGGGATACTGTTTTAAGGGATGCACTCATTTTCCAATGGGGGGAACGTGGCTTAATCAAGGAAAAAACATTGAGCCTATCTCAAACAATCAGTTCTAGGAAGTGCCACAACCCAAAGTGATAGTGGGAGCTAGACAAGATGATCACATTTATTTCCCTCGATCTGAAAAATCTAAGAAACATGACAAATTTAAGCTTTGCTGTTCAGAAAATCAGCCGTTTTAGCAGACTACAGAACTGACAAGCTTAGCTCCACTTCACACTGTGGTAAACAAATAACTTGTAACCCCCAGCCCTCCCATTTATCACCAGTTGGGGAAAAAATAGATTTTGGTTTCTTTAGCACCCTCTCCAAGTTCATCTTATTTAGATCCTGACCCTCAACACTCCTCTGTAGAATGATTCAAACATTTAGATTTGACAATCACAGCATCATTCATGTACAGACCTGGAGAAACATTATCATACCGTGCATGTGGTTATACACAAGAGTTTTGATAGCTTGTGTAGCTACACATAATAGTTTTACTTCCCCTGTAACATGCTTTAGTGTAAATCCTTGCCAGCATTAATGGAAGACATGCACACATGCTAAAGAGAAGCCGTAATGCAGTTTTACAATTCCTCACTTACCAGTGTAGTTTACAGAATAGCTGTTTGGGTCCAAAAATTTTTTTACGAGTTCACAGTTAGACAGTATGTGATGGGAAGTAATTACATCGAGATAGGCCTGGAGTCCTTTCTGTCTTTCAGCTATGAATTCACGTTCCATATTTCCAATCAACTTTTTTGGAGGAAGAGGTAGACTTAGAGTTGAGATCTTAAAAAGAGAAGGAAAATTACTAACAGTGCTCTCAAAATGCCTCGGGGATGTAGACTAACAATCCAGAAAATAAAAGAGACTGAGCAGTGAGCTAACTACTATATAATTATTTCTATACCGTGTATATACAAGCTTTTATGGTTTTTAAGGTACTATTATCAGAGAGAGGTAGTCAGACAATAGCTTGCATCTCAGTGTGAAGAGATCCATAAACGGAATGACACTGAAGATGCAAGCTGATAGATTTTTGCTGGTGAGTCATGCATTTAAGATCACTACACAAAGCTTTCAGACACTAAATAGCTCCAGTTCTCAGCCAAATCCTTTGTATGACATACCTTTGCACACATACAGAAGCAGCACACAAAACAAAAACACCTTACCATTTTCTCCTGCTAGATTTATGCTTTATTAAAGAGATGCAGATCAATAACTTTCCTCTTGCCTCTACTGCTTTTATGGATAATTTACAGCCCTTATTGTCAGTATTTTAAACCTGTAACTTCAGATATGGTGCAACTTTTCCACTTTCTTTTCTGAATTTGTTGCTATACATTTTTTGAACTGCTATGTATCTTTCAGCCTAGAAATAGCTGCAATCTACTGGCAGATATACAGTAGTTGTTTAATGTTGACGTGTGACCCAAAGCTTCAGATAAAATCTGGGAAATGCTTTAAAATAGGAAAATGAAAAATTATGCAGAAATCCAAAGCTTTATGTAAGTCAGATCAAAGAGAGATCATCTTCAGAAAACAAAACTAGGCTGCATACTGTTTATATTCAATTACATCATATGAATCGCCAGAATAAATTTTTCATGTTGTTAACACATCGCTGTCCTGCAGATCAAAGCATCTGCCTCAGGTATGCTGCATCTCCACAGGTGTTATCTTTAAGAAAGGCGTCTTGCAGGAATCAATTCCATTAAATGCAATAACCTCACTTCTAAGCCAAACAGGTCACCAAGGAGAAGACAGGGACTTCTGAGGGTTTGAACAGTCCTTGTTTTAACTTGTGGAAAAATGGAAGGATTAGTTCAACAAACTATGGCTGAGGTAGCAATCCCTCTCCTTTTCTGCTCCTTGAACACAGGAATTATTTCCCCCTGCCAAACCTTCTGGCTCTGGCTACAAATCATAGGCTGAAAAAGAGCTGTGGCTACATCTGAATTACAGAAGGTGTTAATAAAAATCATTCTATCCACTGAGCTTTTATTAATGCTCTTTTACACCAAAAGGAAAAAAACAATAAAAATCCCAAAACAAAATAGCACTACTTACAACCTGCAATTCACCAAATCAGAACTTTTGGCATACCACTCTTACCCCAACAAGTTTCTAAATAAAAACAAAATGCATTTCTGACATGACTCACTTGAAAAGCATGTCAAACCACTGTCACCTTTACCTTCTTGACCTGACAGCTGGCTACCATCAGAGCAAAAAGGACTCTAGTTCAGACGCTTTCAAACCACTACTTCTTCTTTTGTTTCATTTCAGCCAACCACACATTTTCTATTTTCCATCAGAAAGTGGCCTTCACCCCCAGGTTTTTGTAGCTGTCTGCCAAAACCCATGGCACAGTGAGAACATTGCCTACCCCAAACACCACCTCACTGAGGTCCCGACCTGCCCAACACAGGCGTACATCCCAGTGGCCTCAGCTCAGCTCTGACCCAAGGATGGGGCACAGAAGAACCTGGGAACCAACTTCCTTATCTTCAAACCGCAGCCTGCACAGGAATGTCTGCTCAAGAGCTGCAATAAAAGGCTTCACAGAAGCCAGATATCTTGCTGCAAATAACTACCAGCAGCTCATTTAAAAGAGCAGAAGAGCAGGCAATAATCTCCACACATCTCTGTCAAAGAAACAAAGAGGAAGAAATGCAGGATGGCCTGCAAGGGGCTTTTCAATCTGGTATGTGGCTGGGGCTCGGGGAACCTGGCTTGAAGCTTTCTGATGCGGATCAAGGTCACAGACACACCTCTCCTTATTACCAAGCTGTCTGGTAGAGCTGCATCCCTTTGCCTACGACATTCTTAAGTTCTCAGTCCTTACTATTATTGCACAGGTAGCTTCAGATTAACAGTAGAAAAACTGCATTTCAACTCAGCTGCAGCTTTGTGTTCAAACTGAAGCACCCAAACCTACATAGATTGAGCATGCCACAAGAACTGAAATAACTTCGAGCTTTGCATGCAAAGGAACCCCAGCAGCATTTTTTTTCCAGTGACATTTTAGTTTTGAAGGAAGAGGATATATATATATATTTTCTATTGCCCCTTTTTTTGGTGGTGGTTTGTTTGGTTGTGGGATTTTTTTGTGTGTTTATTTTTTATTAATTTCTACATATACAAGTGAAAGCTTAAAATGTTTAAAAACAACTCACGGGACCTGAACACTGTGATGAAATATTGTTGCTTAAGAGTTATGGATGGGAAGAACTGAGGAGTGCTGTATGTCTTAATGGATCAGAAAACCACAGCTCCAGCATCACAAAGAACAATTTATAAAAAAAGCTCGAGAACAAAACAGCTGGGGGAAGACAGTAATTTCAGCATGTTTCTCATCAGCTACTGTCTTGTGTCTCTTGAGCCCTGGCATACAGAATAAGGCTGGAGAATGGTGTTTGTCAAAAGCAGAGCTGTGCAACCTTGATAATGGCTTAAAATTCACCTCTGCTGGGCTGAAGAATTACACGTCTGAGGGCGGCTCCCTACCAGAGGTATGGAGAAGAGCCTATCTCCAAACACAGATACATCTTTGCCCTTCCAGATGGTTGAAAGCAGAATAATCTAGGAGCTTGAGATTCAGGGAGTAAGCAGGAGTTTGCACTGATGAAGGCCAAATGTTAACGAACATGTCCTGTTAATTTAGCTTCCCTCTACATATCCTCCTATCCAAGTTAAAGGGTTACGTCTCGACTACCCTGTTTGATCCTTTCTAATCACCCACCCAGGCCTAACCTGTCATCTCTAAATTTAAGGTCTAAAAAGGTCTGTTGCCTTTTCCACTAAAGCTGCCTCATTTGAAAGTTAAATGAGAAGACAACAAAGCTTTCTCATGCCTTAACACGTTCCCCATGGTTAAGAAGGACTTACAGTAGCTTAAAAAATAAAGTAAAATGAACTATCTTCTTTTTAAAGCCTCATCAAAATTGTTTCTCTGTGATCTCTATCAAAACTTGACAATGGTTGAGACTACAATGACTCCTGTGCACTATGTCGACCAGCACCATTTCATTTCCTTGTGTTCCCACAGGTGCCTATCTAATCTTCAATCTTGGATTTTGCTGGAGCAGGAGATACCTTTGTATTGCATTTATTCAGCACATCACACGAGAGGTTTCTGGGTCATGACAAAAGTTACTGTGTGCTACTGCATATTCAACAAAATAATTACACAACCCAACCACACTGCCTCTATTGAATTATGACTAATTTGCTCCCCCATCTACCTGCTAATCTGCTTCAAATTATTCCTGCCCTATCGGCGTGCACGATTCAACATCCTGACATGTTTTTGCTCACTGAGGCTCATCAAGCAAATAGCTGGTTTGATTGGGGGGGAGGAGGGGAGCGGAAGCTATATTAAGTTCCCAAATTCACACATTTAATGGGGGGAATTAGTCATAAAAATACACCCTCAAGTCACAGCAGTGCTTGCTTTTTGTCTTGCTTGCCTAGTACCATGGAAATCTCAAGTAACAAGTTTCACTCCAGGAGTCACTGCTGCTTCCCCCCTTCTCCCAAACACGCTCCTATACCCTGCTTTTTCCCACACAAACTAAAAAGAAATAATTGTCCTAAAAAGCAAAAGAAAACACAGTAAGTCCTGTGTTTAAGTCAGGAACACTTTTCAGTGATACAGAAATCCATCACATGATAAGCAGCATCTGGAAGTGCTTTTAGACGAATATAAATAATGAGACACATAGCACTTCAATGCTGAATTTATAAGGTTGGTATGTGCCTTGGCTTTCCTCAAATCAAAGGAGGAACAAATAATAACACACAAAACCGGAAAAGTCACAGTACTGAAGGGAAAGATTCAGTATCTGCCAATCTCCACCATTTATATATAAATTGGTACTCTTGATGCTAAAATTATAATTTTACAAGAAAAAAGCCTAGGAGTGAAAAAGTATACATTCAAGTTACATTTGAAATCACGGTTTCCCTTTATAGCAATGTGAATTTGTATTTTTTCTTCAGTACAATACACAAAAATATCTCAAGATATTTTAAATATATCCTTCTGACATTTTATATCTATATATCAAGGGTAAAAGTTACCTGCAAGCTATTATTAAGCAAGTCGAAGTCACTGTATCGCCTCACAATCTGCAAAATATAAAGAAAAAGTTGAGGAAGCATATTACTTTTCTCATTATCATTTTACTGTTCAAAATCCCATTAGAGAAAAGTAATTCCCATTTGTAATTCTCTTCTTTTAGCCATTTTTGTACAAATGCATAACTACTGGATTTATGACATACTGCCAGAGCACAAAGAGTTTTTAAGGATATCTCAGCCAGAACAAAAATGCATTCCTGAATATTATCTTAAACAGCTTTCCAAAAAAAAGATTTACGAGCGAAGTTGCCTACAAACAATGCATTTTTGCCTTATTAGAAGCAGCAATTTTTCACGATCACCTTCACCACTACTTCTAGGTTTTACTGGCTGTGGATTAGCAAGGCTGTGATTTTAGCACTAGAGAAGGCAAACTGGCATTTGAAATTTAAAAATGACAGCCATACCAACACATGGTAATAACATGACAGGCATTTTTTCTGTTTTCCTGGAAAATTCACAATAGCAGCAGACAACTTGCCTTCTGTAGCTGGCAGTAACAGTGTTTTTCTCAGTTTTTGACCAAAGTATTCAAGCACTTTATGTTCTCAATTTACACCAACATTCCCCTCTCCAGCTCAAATTTAAGAAGCTAAGAAGAGAGAATTTTCAAGTTCTTCCTAAAAAGGCATCTTGGTTCCAGCACCAGAGTTTACAAAATTACCTGCCAACTGTTTTCTGCTGAAATTCCTCTCTGAACACGGATTATGTATTCCTAGTAAAAAGAAAAAGTTATTAGCAATGAGAACGAGTGAGATGAATAAAGTTATTAGGCACTTCTCCAAACGTGACCACTACTACCCAATTAGGAAACATTCAGAAGCAGAAAATTCAGGTCCAGACTTCGAGCTTCAAGGTGAAGGTCCGAGCTAGGTTCATTCAGACCATCACCAGCAGCTCACCCACTGCTCTGCAGAGTTAAAGATGAAAAGAGGTCCAAGAGCTTGCAGAATGAAGCACTCTCAGTCAAGGAAAAGGTAAGAGCACACTCAGCAAACATCATCTCTACTGAAAACAGCTGAATTAACCTGTCCCCACCTCCAATATCTAACCAGTGCTCCCCAGGAATTACTGCCTCCATCGTAACAGAGCAAAATGCCAATACACACCTAGAGCTGCCCAACCTCTGGTTATATTTACATGAAAGAGGTTTGGCATGTACTTGAGTAACTAGAACAGATCCGTTCCTCATCATGGTAATTCTTCGTTTCTAATGCAAATTTAATTATAGAATCATTTAGGTTGGAAAAGACCTCTAAGATCATCAAGCCCAAGCATTAATTTAAATTATCCTTTAGATTTTAAAGATCAATAATTCTCCCACCATGATTACACTCAGAAAGCACAATTCTTCTCAGTCTTTTCATTTCAAGCTTCAACCTACCTTTTGCAGACTAATACCGGGTGTGGTGTAAATGCCTGAAGTAACTAGGAAAATAAAACTAACATTCACACTTTTAAGGAAAAGGTACAGCATTGAAGAGGCTTTCAGGGTAGGGCATAACTGCATTCCCTAGGCTCCCAACCTTAGATGCTATCGCGCTGGGGAAACTTGGTGTGCTAGCCCTAAGGAACACCACGGAGCGTAGAGTGGAGTGGAGACACCACGGCTAGGCTCTGTAATCAGGTGGGGCCTCGATTGTTCTTGTGCACAAAGCTGCACTTTTTGCCACCCTAAGCCAAAGACCTGTCATGTTTTGACAAATGCTGTACCCTAGTGTACTTTTTGCTCATTATAATATCATTATAATACCAAAACACACCTCCATCCCAAAAGCTACCCGCCTCCAAGGTGCGACCACCCCTCACTGAGCATGCGCTCTGAATTTCTCGGAGCCTATTACTTTAAACGGAAACGGGAAAACTTGACACCAATCATAACTAAGATATGCTTGACTAGAGACACTCAAGCTCCACCTAAAAGATAGAAAATAATATAAATTGGCCCAAGAGAGAGGGGATGTTAGGGAAGATACCATCGTCAGGGGAGATACCATCCCAAGGACATACAACATCCTTAGGACCTCCTGACTCCTGGGATCAGTCGACGGGCTGAGCCTCTCTTCCCCCCCCATTGGGACGCCTTTGGGTGAGATCTGAACATTTGCTTATAAATCTCTATAGAGTCTTTGATCCTTTTAACGCGTTTATTTCTAGGCTGCGCACCTATAACACCTGTAACACCTAGAACACCTAGAACCCGCACCTAGAACCCGCACCTAGAACCCGCACCTAGAACCCGCACCTAGAACCCAACACCTAGAACCCGCACCTAGAACCCAACACCTAGAACCCAACACCTAGAACCCGCACCTAGAACCCAACACCTAGAACCCAACACCTAGAACCCAACACCTAGAACCCGCACCTAGAACCCAACACCTAGAACCCAACACCTAGAACCCAACACCTAGAACCCAACACCTAGAACCGCACCTAGAACCCGCACCTAGAACACCTGTAACACCTGTGTATTTCATGCATACTAGCTTGCTTTTGCAGATAGTCACTATCACCGGCAATCCAAAAGAACCTGATTATCTGTTGCTGTAATAAACCATACTTGATTGCATTGTGATAGCTCTCATTAATGCAACTAGGGTGAGGGTGGTTATCCGTGATAGTTCAGTGTTCTGAATCTAACCAGACCCCCAGACGGTTAATGCATTGTTGGTGAATGTCTGAAGCGGACCCCCAGACGGTTAATGCATTGTTGGTGAATGTCTGAGTGGACCCCCAGGCGGTTATTACGTTTTGGTGAATGTCCGAACGGACCCCCAGTTTTGGTGAATGTCCGACTGGTTCAGTACTCTGAATCCAAACGGGCCCGTGACGGTTAATCAGCTACACCCCTTTAACGCGACACCGGGTCAATGCAGCAATTTAAATAATTACTTTAAGAACAGATACCAAGTATTTTGTGCACCTCTGCAGAAAAGACATACTTTGAGGAAGCAGTGATTTTGTTCACCTCTACTCTGTTGGAGTTTGAAAGCAGCTCTAAAAACACTTCGGGCATTTTGAGATCATATACAAGGCTTTCTAGGAAAAGGACTATAGTTTCTGTTTAAAGATAGTCACCACATGGTTTAATTGGCAAGGGAATAAAATTAGCTGTAAGTATAGTGATAAGTACTTCCTTTAACATTTGCATCTACTGAAAGTCCTGTGAATGAAGCTTTTCTTAAAAAACAAACAAAGAAACAAACAAGTCTCGTTACAGAGATCTAGCCACATAATGTACATTGAAAGACATGAAAATGAAGAGCCAAAACATTACGGTGCTGCTCGAGAGAAGGTGATGCTGAGCACTGAGGAGTGTCAAGGAGCAACCAGAGCCAGAAGAGGTGGAAGAAGCCACCCGGCCACCTATGTTTTTACACTTTCCTCCCACGTTGGAAGCTGCACATCCCACAGCCTTTTCAGCAAACCCATCTTCTCCGCTCTACTCAGCCATGGATGGCAGAACCGCACTCAGCTCACACGGCTTCATTCACCCCGGTACAAGAGCACCTGATACAACTTTTCAATTTCCAACACCACCCAATTGTGCTGAACGGCTTACATCAACAGGAGTCTCACAGAAACAGAAAGGTCAGAACGGAGCCCTATGGCCAAGGTTTCCTTCAGATATTAAAATTAATGATGCATTCCAAGTTATCACAAATAAACAATAATGGAGTAAGTTTAAAGCAAAAGCATTTCCAGCACCTTAAGTTTACACGCCCAATTTGTCCATTCCGTAGCTATAACTGTACCTACAAACATGGCACGTACCCGCATACCGCACAGATAACTCCATCAATTGGCTGTCTGATCCATGAGGTATTAGAAATTCAGCTGCACAGTCAGAAATCCAGCACAGACATTTGTTATTAACCTCGTTCAGGTACAATGAAACATCTTCTGTTTTTGGGGGAAGCTGCCTTCAGAACCACACAGAACTAACTCTTCTCTTTCAAATGAAATTAATTAAGAGCTTATACACTGATGAAAAAACACATCCCAGCAAACAAAGTGGAGCACATCAGAGAATCCCACCTTAGAATTGAACTTCCATTTAACACTTACCACCATGAAAGGGAAGTAGTGTAAAGCAAGAATCAGGACTACTGCAGGCAAGAGCCAAAGGCAACACTCATCAGATGATGTTACCTTATAGATGATGCTCAGCCTCAGCTCACCCAGGATTTATTTACTGGAGTTTCCTTCTGAAGCACAATGCTGTTCAGGCAAGAAAGCTATTTCATTTTCTCAAATTCACACAAAATATCCTTTATCAGCAACAGCTATCAAATATGTGGCAACTTTGAACCTCGTATCCATGAGAACAAATTCAAGACTAGTAAGCATGAAAACCACAGTATTTGACATTATAATCAAGGTAATTTCCTGTAAAACAAGAAACTCAAATCCTCAGCAATGGTAAGAAACCTCCACAGAGCTGATTCTAATTCAACCAGTTTAATAATATTTGGAAATTTTCTAACAGAAACCAATTAAGCAGACACATGCAAACGTAAATTCACAGCTAACGTGGCTTTTCCTATTTCATGACTGTTACTGCATTTTGGGAAGTAGGAAGAGACTATTTCACTCGCAGCCAGAAAAATGCAGCAACTGCTTATTCAGCAAGTCTCAAAGGAACACTGGTTATTTCTCTGAAAAAAAAAAAAAAACACGTCAGGGATGATTCACCGTGTGCAGTCAGTCATTCATCTTTTCTAGTATTTTGAAAGCAGCAGAGTTATTGCCCAACCCCTTGGAGCACTTACTCGTTATCCAGCGATTAACCTTCGCTGTTGTACTCCAAGAAAACGCTCCCGGACAGGCAGAGCACACCAATTCATTAGACAACTGTCAAAGCATCATGCTGCATGCAACCACGCTGATCGATATGACAGTCGTCTCCTCTGCAGAGCGTGGTGATAAACAACTCTCTCATTTCCTTCCTTCACCAGATCTCATTTTTGCAGGACGATTATATTACAAAAACAGACTTGGGCCACAGCTATGTTTTCACGCAGACCATAGGGTTTTCCCATGCAGTTCTGGTCAGGTGTCCTAAAGCATTAATTGACCCCAGATTTTATGTCCCAGGATTCACAACCGACAGCAAGAGAGCTCTGCAGACGTGGCTGTTAGTTGTGTCTGTGATAAAGTCCCACCACGCTCCCATCAGCACCAAACTCACTGAAGAGTTGGCCACTTCAGCACTACGTGGTAAAGACAGCTAATGACACAGTCCTAATTTTAGCAGGACAGAGACCATGCCCATGCCCATAGGAAAGAAACTGAAGCTGTAAGGAAGACAGGCACACTCCGAACAAGTTCTGTTTGACTGCATAGAACAGGAAAACGTGACAGACAGGGCTCAGCTCTGATAGTTGCTAGCCCTTTCTCACTCCCGCTGAAAATTTTCGGTATTTAAGACCAGGCTCAGTGAGGTCTAATTTAGCTACACTTTCCCGTGAGTCACGCAGAAATCCCCATGTCTTTCACTCCTACACGAACGGCTCAGGATTGTTTCCAGGACTCAGTTTACCGAGCAACTTCAACAATGTCCCAACAGCTGCCAGACTGCACAGAAAGGTCTCAGCAGGCAGAAGAGGGATGGCCTCGTGCTGCCGATGCAGCCCCGGGGCAGCAAGCTCACCAGCATCCGCTGCACAAGGTCCACCACTGCTCCCAGGCCACCTCCTGCCCCTCAGGGGT